CAGACCAGCCCTTCTGGCACCAACAATCATGCCACGTTCAAAGTCACTCAAATCACCTTTCTTCCCCATACTGATGCTTGGTTTGAACTGCAGGAGATTGTCTTGACCATGTCTACATGCCTAAATGCACTGAGTTGCCGCCATCTGATTGGCTGCTTAGAAATTAACGTGGAAATGCTGGCTATGTTGAATGAGCGAGCATAGGGAGAATAACTTCCAGTTTGAAATCAGTGCCGGTGTCCAATCAGCAAGGTCCCATGTTTCCCCACTGGTACATACCTATTCTGATAGGTTGCCATTCTGATTTTTAGTATGCTGTTGTATATATATATATATATATATATATTATTTGCTTCAAGTTAATTTGATTAATTTTCTTCTTAATATTTGTTGCTTTTTATTTGCATTTGTTTCAAATTAATGTCACTGTTCTTTTCAACAGCACCAGCGGCTGTAAGACTTTATAACCGCCACTGTTCCCAACAACCTCAATAAGTTGTAACATTCCTGCTGACTTTGCAGTTACTATCTTAGTCATTTTGGACATCTTTTCAAATATCCATTATTGTAAAAAGGTCCACAGCTGTATATTGTTTTATTCTCCTGGTGCACAGCATTCATTTTGTTAAAACACTTTACAGTACAGTATTTTAATTGTTTAATTTTTAACTCTTCACTAGTTTGTTATTCTTATACATTTTGTCTAAGGGCCACATTTGTGTGACCATTTTTTTTCTATAATGTTTTTGTTACTGTAAACACCAGAATTTCCCCATTTTGGGACAATACATGGATTTTCTATTCTAATATATTTTTTGTGGTTTTGAATATGTTGTTTTTTTATTTGTAGTTGTTTTTAAAGATTTGTTAATGTAGTTTTCACTGAATTGCCGCCTTATGTATGGATTTTGGCACTTCTGGCTTTCCATACAGTTCTACAGTTTTACGCTCCTGTGTGTAATTTCGTTTAGACAGATGCTTAAAGCCAAAAAAACCCGGATTGTGTCTGTTAGTAGGCAGCTTGTTGACTTGGTGAGTGAAACAGCGCAGCAAAGAAGAAGAGGTCGGAAGTAGAGAAGTTGCTGCGTGATTGTGACTGTCATGTGGAGGGTTCGTTTGTAACATGACTCAGAGCGTCACAGGCGGAAGGTCACGGAGCAGTAGGTCTGAACGGAAGCAGGAGTAAAGAGTCTATCCGCCATTGTGGAAATAGTAAGGGATATTCTATTTACTTTCAGACTGATAGTCGCCTGAAGCAGTTGGAAAAGACTTGTCGCCGCCAGTTTGTAGCCCGGGAAGGGGAGAAAAGAAAAAAAAAAGAAAAAAAGCGCCGCCTTGTAACGTCCACGGATTGATTGGACGAGAGGGAGAGACGAACCAGGAAAGGAGCACCGAAGTGCAGAAGCAAAGGGGGGCGGCGGCGGGAGGAGGGGGGGAGATAGAAGCCGCGGACAAACAGCGAGCAGTTTGGGTTCCTGGAGGATGTCTGCCACCACAGTCGATCAGGTTCGTGTAGTCGTGCTGTATGCTAGCTCTCAGGGCGAAATAGAAACTTTACGGACAGCACTTTGACGTTGTTCGCTCTACCCGAATCAAACAGGCTTAAAAAGTCTTTTGATATGCGGTGGTTGTTAGCCGAAAGGTAGGCCGACACTCTGCGAACCAACACCGGCTGTAGCCGGTTGCCAATGCGGCACCGTTTACTGGTTGTCAGAGCGCTTGACATCCGGTTAATAAGACTGTTAATCAAGCTGTAAAATGCTAACATCCGGGCTGCAGCCCTCACTGAGTCAAATGCTCTTTAACTGTGTTTTAAGATCCTCTGTTTTCTTTTTTGTTGTTTCAGAGAACCAAAGGACAAGGAAATAAAGGTAAGGCTTTGGTGGGAGTTTTTTTTTTCTTGCCTCTGCAGGTTATGATATACTGTGCTATTATTTGCTGACAGTGTTTGTTTTAAACTGTAGTCCAAACTGCAGCCTGGAGCATTGTTGACACAAAACAGCACAGCATACCTATGATCAAAATATAGTCATCTGGCATCATGACTGTTTGGGGAATGCAGCTTCCTGTAATTACTTATATTAGCTTTTCTTTCTCTTTATTTTATAATTCAGTTCAAAACGGATCCATGCATCAAAAAGATGGTGTGAACGATGATGACTTTGAGCCTTACATAAGCGGCCAGACAAATCAGGTAATGTGCATTTAAAATGAACAATGTTTAAATTGGAATGAAGGATCCCACAGCTAATTACACGCTCAATTATTTTTCACACCTGACCGCAAAATAACCAGTGTCCTGTTTAAATATTTTGCAACAAATTGGGAAAATCAAACTATCCAGCTTTTGAGGCTGTTGCACAGTGGTGGTTCTAGACCAAATGTAGCAGGGGGCTACCGTGTTGCATGACAGCATGAAATAAAAAACAGGGGAAGGGATTCAAATATGTTATATAATATAGTTGCATGAAGTGGAATTTCTATTCAATTAGGTTTGATTAAAATTCTATGTCTTGTTAGGTCAATATACATTTAGAATTTAGTAATTTTACATATTTTTGACTTGATTTAAGTTAAGATTTGAATTAGAACTCAAGAAAAACTGATAAACTGATAAATTCAGTATTTTTGTTTTTTGAAGAAAACATTTAGCAGATTAAAACTGGGATCATATCTCAACACCACTGAAGCTATTACCTTATTGTTTTTAAATAATAAATAAAACAGCATTTTTAAAGAAAAATTATCATTAGAATTTCTCTAAGTATTATGTCTTCATAACAGGGGCCGGGTCATGATCTACAGGGGCACTGGCCCCGTTGGCCCCTGTCTAGAACTGCCAATGCTGTTACATGCTAAATTTTTAAATTAATACTCTCCTCTATTATACATGGCTGTGACATAGTCCTTTGAGATTACTTCATGCCTTTTGGCCCAGCATTGTGAAGTGAAATGATAATCTTTGCAAATAACAAGTCAGTATTTTGTATAAGTAGCTTGATTGAATCTGCAACTCATTTGGGGCTTCTCAAACATTAATTTTTATTTAGAAATGTTGCCCATTATCCATGCAGAATAGCTTAAGCTAAGGTAGATTGGATAGATAGAATCCAGGAGTTTGAAAAAAATAGAATATTCTCAGTTGGATTTAGGTCAGTGCTACACTGGGCATCCCAAACACAGTAATACGCTTCAAACCTGGGTGTGTTTCAGTCCATTTGTTTTATTTGCTAAATTAAAATGCAGGTTGTACCAAGTTACTTTAAGATGATGTTTAAGGTACAGCAGTATGTTGAAGTAAGCCTTCCTATCATATTTGGCCTCATCCTTCCTCTCGTCACTCTTGACCAGTTTATTTATATCCTCTAATTCTGAGATGTTGATCAATAAATGGATTTTAAAGTTATGTTGAAACAGTGGTTTGTTGATATTACCAGCTCTTCTCAATAAAGGGTCAAAGTCACTTTTTTTGCCTATACAACCCCCCCCAAACATTTGATCATGATCGCATCATTTGATCCATTTTGATCATGTTTTTAATCGATGAAAATTACCATTCCTACTAAACACACACAGGTGAGAAATATTTCAGGTAAATGGACAAAAAAAAAAGGTCAGTTCTTAAACCTTTTCATTGCAATGAATGCAGATTAAACTCAACAAAATATTGCTTCCCTAGTTGTCTGACATCTGATTGCCTCTACAACATTAGTTCCTTTTTTGGTTAACACAAATGTTCATACTGTATTGTGAGTGCTATTTTATTTTTCAGCCCTTTTGAAATCAAATATTTTATTTTGCATTTTTTTTCACACTGGATCTTGGATTTTGCTTTACTTTCACAACTCCGCTGGGAGATGCTAGCTGGCTTATTCACAGTACGTCTGTGTTTATATGCTTTATTTAACAACAAATTGATCAAAAACAAAACGTAAAACTACAGAAAACATACAAAATGTATAATACTATTGCAGGATGCATAATCATCCAGAAATATATATACATATAACGTAACTATGCCCCTTTTAAATCAAGGTAAACTGAAATAAGTCATGAAATGCATCTTTGCGTTACTGAATATTCTACAAATGGTAATAAAATGCAAATTGAGATGTTAGCCTTGGTAATTTTAAATGATGCCTAATATTTCCATGTCTTTCTGTATCATGCAGAGTAACAGCTATCCACCAATGTCTGATCCTTACATGCCCAGCTATTATGCGCCATCCATCGGTTTTCCTTATTCTCTGGGAGAAGCTGCTTGGTCCACAGCTGGAGATCCACCAATGCCCTACCTTACTACTTATGGACAGATGAGCAACGGGGAACCACACTTTATCCCTGATGGCATTTTTAGCCAGCCCGGAGCCCTAGGAAACACCCCTCCATTTCTCGGGCAGCATGGCTTCAATTTTTTTCCTGGTAGTGCAGACTTTTCCACCTGGGGTACCAGTGTCTCTCAGGGTCAGTCAACTCAGAGCTCTGTCTACAGTAACAGCTATGGCTACGCACCCAGCTCATTGGGTCGGGCAATCACTGATGGACAGACGGGCTTTGGAAGTGACTCTCAGCTCAGTAAGGTCCCGATGCTGAACAGCATTGAGCAAGGTATGACAGGGCTAAAGCTGGGTACGGACATGGTGGCAGCTGTCACCAAAACCGTTGGCTCACCTTTAGGGGGCTCTGTGGGCATGAACAGCACGGCGGCCAATAATCTTCCCCCCTCTGTCAATTCATCTGCACCTAAACCCGCCACCTGGGCAGCAATTGCTAAGAAGCCGGCCAAACCCCAGCCCAAGGTGAAACCCAAAGCCAACATGGGGATTGGGGGAGGCACCGCCATTCCCCCACCTCCGATTAAGCACAATATGAACATTGGTACCTGGGATGATAAGGGCTCTTTAAACAAACCCCCATTAGCTCAGACAATGATGCCCCCACAAACTCTGGTGCAGCCTGGACTTTTAGCTCAGCCCTTATTGCAGAACCCCTTGCCCCATCAAACTCCACACCAACCCCAACATCAACACCAGCCCTTCCACCTCCAAACTATCCAGTCACCCCAACACCCTCTGTCTCATGGCCCTCCCCACCTACACCTCCCTTCCCAACCCGGTCTCCCCCAGCACCTTCATCAACAGCCACCTCAGCAGCTTGGCCCACCCCCCAACCGTTGGGTTGCCCCCAGGAACCGCGGTGAGGGCTTTGGTTTGGGGGGTGGAGTTCCACTGAGTGCCTCCCCTTGCTCCGGAGAAGTGCACCCTGTGCTGGAGAAACTCCGATCCATCAACAACTACAACCCCAAAGACTTTGACTGGAACTTGAAAAATGGACGTGTTTTCATTATCAAGAGCTACTCAGAAGATGACATCCACCGTTCAATCAAGTACTCTATCTGGTGTAGTACAGAACACGGGAACAAGCGCCTGGATAGTGCCTACCGTTCGCTGTGCAACAAGGGGCCCTTGTACTTGTTGTTCAGTGTCAATGGCAGCGGGCATTTCTGCGGCGTGGCCGAGATGCGCTCGCCAGTGGACTACAACGCCTACGCAGGAGTCTGGTCTCAGGACAAGTGGAAGGGCAAGTTTGAGGTGAAGTGGATTTTCATCAAGGATGTGCCCAACAACCAGCTGCGTCATATCCGGCTGGAGAACAATGACAACAAGCCAGTGACCAACTCTAGGGACACTCAGGAAGTGCCTCTGGAGAAGGCCAAACAAGTGCTTAAAGTTATTGCCTCCTATAAGCATACCACCTCAATCTTTGACGACTTTGCACATTACGAGAAACGTCAGGAAGAGGAGGAGGCTTTGAGGAAGGTGAGGTAAATTAGTTTCTAATGGGGAATACACATCCAGAGCGCCATGGTGCTTCTGGTTACTTTCAATTCATCCATTTGCTCTTTTAACACTCAATGGTTAGGTGTTTTAAAGTGTTGCAAGGCAGGAGCAATTAAGGACTTCAGCCTTCAGAATTTTATCAAGATGTAGTTTGTAGGCACTTTGTTATAAAAACCTCACCTAGTGTTTCTGGATTCCAGCTGGTTTTTGCTATAAGCAGTCATTTGACGTGGGGTTGTAGCATCTTGTGGCATCGTTGGTCTTTAGTAAATGGAAGTTTTTCCAAAGCCTCTCGGCAGATCGACACTTCACCATTACTCATGAGAAGGTTTAGGAAACCATGAGTCTGCATCAGCCATCTGACACTCTTAACATTGCGAAGATTCATTCAGATGACTGTTAGGGTTCCTGAAATAACCCACATTCCTAGCGTTCCCTTGTTTTTTCTTTCCTGACAAAGGCCCCCGCCATCCACAAACTCCTTATGCTTTATTAGATATTTAACAACATAAGCTCCAAGCTGGTTATACGTCCTGGAACAGTTAGAATTCTTGCATTTCTAGATGTTTTTCTGAATATATTACAAAATTCTATAATCTCACTGAGGTATCGTTCTGAAGAAAACAAAAAACGCCCTCTCAGTTTAACATTAGCAGAGGGGAAATTAAACCATCTCCCAGTAGTAGTAGTAATGCTGTAAAACAAATGGTAGTTCAGGCAATTAAAAACAGAAAATCACGATATCACCAGTAGCGTGCTTCTGCATCCATTCTAATATTCATAAAACACACACGCATACACACACACAACCCCCATCCTCTTTTCCCCAACTGCTGGTGCTCCACTGATGGTGTATTGACTTCTTGTTGCCGACCTTGTTAATATGCACTGGATTCCTCTCATAAATATTTCAAGTCAGTGTTTTCAGGCTTCTGGAAACAAACTGTCAGTTCCAAGCCAGTTTCATTGGGTGTCACACAAGCGCTTAGCAGTGCTGCCTTTGTAACCCTGACCCTCATTACATGACAGGATCGTCCCAGGTCAAGGCCTCGCCCCTCTTCACCTGACAAGGTTAATTGCAGCCTGTTGTTTGGCCCATCCTACCCAGCCTTTCAGAGATGTCTGACTTGCACAACAACACCTTCTCATAACGCCTTCCCAAGGTGTTTTTTTTCCCCCTCTTGTTCTTGGTTATGCCTTTTTTTTTTAGGAGAGATAACCTTGCTTTAGAGAATATATGGGCTTTTATTAAAAGTGAGTCATTTTTGGAAATACTTGAACTGTGCAGCGTGTGGGTATTCAAAAATAACTTGGGTTTGAAAAAGCACGTTGCCTATTAGTTTGGTGAGTAGGCTAAAAGCATTTGTGATGAAACATTCAGGTAGGTTGTATAGAACTTGAAGGGTGTAAATTGATTTGTGCTCCAGGTCTCATTTAAGCTACATTTTTCAAGGTTTTGTCCTCAGTCACAGGCCATCTGGGAATTTGGTTACAACAGGAGCCTGGATCTCCATGTTTCCCCCCCCCCCATAGAACTGATATGGATATCCTCAATGAGGGCACAGTTTGAATGAAATATGGGAGGTAAAATATGTTTCAACCTGTACTGTTCCTCGTATGACACCTTTATAGCATTCATCTTTCTATCTATAACAAGCTGTTGAATATCTGACACTGCAGGAACAGTGTGATGTTTTGTTTAGGATATCCACCTCTTTTTATCCCTGACTACGTGAGACTTTCGGCTTTGAGCAGAAAGTAGTGCCAGCATTCTGCTGACAGTGTAAACATGACCCGAGTATTTGGTTAGTGCATTCCTCTGGATCTTTAAACTCTATTTCACACTCTCTTTCTAACAAAAGGTAGTCTCTTACTTGCTTTTTTAGTTTTAGCATGTGTCAAGCATGCTTTAGGTATGTTTAGCTCTGTTGTGGATTTATTTTATTTCCACTCAGGTGTTTGTAATTAACAAGAAAACCAGAATAATTCACCTAGATACATGGGCGACATGTTAACTGCTAACGCTTTAGTGCATTTTGGGAAGTTTTTCAACGATTGGCCCACATAAAATAATGCAAAATTGGGAAGTCGAAGGAAAAGTATTTTTAGTTTGTTTTCAAAAAAAAAAAAAAAAAAAGATGGCATGCATTTGTATGGACACTCTGACACCCTTAAATAAAATCCAGCATAACCATTTCAGTTTTGAAGTCCCCTAAATGTAATTGGAGGAACGTGACTCTGAAAACACCATCCTTTTGGTTGAAAGTGGTGATCAGACTGTTTTTTTTTATTTTAAATTTAGGGGCAATTTATTCTTGTCAGCATCAAAACCCCCTCTTGTATCTCTGAAAGTCAGCTTTTGCCTATCGGGTCTTATCCATGACACCCCATGGAGTGTCCTGTAGTGACTTGTAGTGAAAGAGTGAGCATTTGATCTGCAGGTTGGGGGGTCTCCTTCTTAGGGTCTCCATAGATCAGGCCTCTAGCAGTTCATCTGTTGCTGTCAGCACCTTCAGGTGTTTGTTGTGCTCCATGCATGCATTCCTCAGTAGTTCTCGCAATGCTGCAGACTAGAGTCGGGGGAGGCCGTTGCCATGGAGGAGGCGTGCTTGCTTGGTGTCACAGTGATAACCGCACGAATGCATGGAGCTGTTTCCCAGTATCAATTTTTAGACCGTTTGAGCAGTTTTATTCTCTTCACCTTTAAATTCTTTGGATGTTGATGCTTATGAACTTTAAATTCTCCTTTAGACAAAACGAAAAACTGTTATTTCCCTTTTAGATATATAAACACAATCCTGATTTCTTATAGCTGAGGCTTAGATTGTCTTTTTAAGACAACCAGATAAATGTCCATTCCCTATATTAATGTGCTACGTGTGTGATTATATTAAAATCTTGCTGCATAAACCCGTCTGATGAAAACCCCATCTTAACCTAAGAAACAATAAAAGCAATTTGTCTGTTCAGACTAATGGTATAACTACAGCAGTCAGATGCAAAAGAAAGTGCTCCCTCAGTACTACTACTAATAAAAAATACTCTAAACAAATGAACACTGTTTGGCAGATTGGATTTTATTTCTGCTTTAGATCAGCCTAAATGAGGCACACCGGAACAGACAGACTCAGACACGTCAATGTTGAGGTAAAGTACTGTTTTTCAGTACTGAAAAGAGACTTTAAGCAAGTACAGCTCTCTGTTTGCTACTTCTTTACTTAGTGACGCATAGTTATGAAGATTTCCCTTGAAGGGATTTTAGGACTCCTAATTTGGTGATAGGCTTTATAATTTATATAGCAGCTACCTTTTAAAGTAATGTTACATTTAAGTAATATCAAACCAAACAGGTTCTTCTCAGTAAGCTGAACTGATTGAAATATGGATTTATTTCAGTAGGTAATTGAATTATTTTATTACATATGAAACCATGTCTCTGTATTTTCAGAGTTAATATTTTCAATAATATTGTTTATAATGGCTCGCATTTTAAGAACCCCAAATTTATTGTGTTAGCAAAGCTAAAGTATTTGAAGACTAATAAAATATAGCTTTAGTAATCTTTAGTACAGAAGCATTAATGCCTTTTCTAATCGTGAGAAATACTGCTGATCTGACAGATGTCTAGCAGGCAGTCTAAAGGTCACTGCTAAAGAAGTTAGGTGTTCAAAAAGCACTTAATCACGATAATGGAAAGTAGAGTGGAAGGAAAACATTAAGGAAAAGGTTGTATAAAGATTGATTATTACTGCTCCTTTAACAGAATTGTGAAGAAATGTTTTTTTTTAGGCAATTTACTAGGCGTTAAGCACAGCCTGAATCAATGTTTCTGGAGCCCCACACAGAAACACTTTTCCTCTTCTGCCCGATGTTAATGCTTAATGATTACCTTAGTTGGCAATTATTAAAAAGATGCAAATTTCATTCACTGACCCACTCTTACACGTCCACAAACATCATCTTTAATCATCATTTTATCACCAGAAACCCACCTGACAAAATGTTTAAGGACAGATGTCCTGCATTTTTCAGGTGTTTTTCTGCTCCAACACAGCTGAATTACCTCCTCAGCATGTCGTCAAAGTCTTAAAATGTCTGGCTGTGATCCTTCCCTGTGTTGAACCAGGGAAACATCCAAAGTATGCAGGACTCTGGTCACTGAGAAGTGACACTGACCACCTCTGGTTGTTCTCAGCAGGAGGATGACAGACACCAGACCCTTCAAACAGGCCAGCCGCAGGCTGCTGTTATTGCAATATAGACTCTTGGTTATGTCCTTCATGCCTCACATAATTAATCAGTATCTTTAAGCTTAATTAGCTTGCCAATATTTAAATACACACACAGTACAATACATGGACATACTTTTCACTAGACTCTCATTGATGTATCGGATATATTTTTATTGGTCTTATGTAATGATCCAGTTGCTGGGATGAAATGTTTTAAATATAGTACTATATTACATGCATGTATGTTAGGCTAGATCATACTGATGATGCTAACTGAAAATCTGTTTTCTCTGCTGTTCTTAACTGATGATCTCTGTCTTTCTCCTCATGCAGGAGCGCAGCAGGAATAAACAGTAACCTTCTAGCAAGTCCTCTGCTAGGCAACACTAACGATGAAGGACCTTAAATGAAATTAGCCTAACCCCACGGTGGAGGGCCTGTCGCGGTCTGTCCTCCCAAGACGACAATGTATCTGAAAAGCTTGAATGCGACATTAGTTGGACTCATCCTGTATCTGTTGATTGGTGCATCAGACCCCATGTTCACGAGGAAAAAGAGTGAGATCTGTCTTTTAAGCACTTTCAGTCCTTCTAAACAGCCTCTGCCAATACCCTTAACTATCTAACGCTCTTCTTTGATTATTTTTTGTTTGAGCTTCTAACCTATTAACTAGAGAAGTCATTGATTTCATTGATTTTATGTTTTTCCTCATTTGTATTATAACCTCCAATGTTTGGGATATGGTGAGCTTGATCTGGCCCTGAAGAGGTTTAATAATGTGGAAAATTACTCAATCTGGAAGAATCTCTGTCTGGTCCTTCCAGATTAAGAATAGGGAAAATAGACGGGTTTGGGAGGAAACGATTAGAAAAGAGCCACAATCATATGGTCTGTCCTACCTTTGCCCCTTTCTTTCTGTATCTTTTTTTCTGTGTATGAAAAGCTTATGATTATGCAGCTGGCCGATGAACCGCCAGCTTACGCACCTTTTTTTTTTTTTTTTTTTCTTCATGTAATTCTGTCATTCTAAAGTGCTTTTGTCTGAGGAGAAAACCTGCTGCTTTGCCAGAGTTGGCGTTGAACCTTTGGGAGATACCTCCACCGTCAGCTAATCGGCAAAGGCAACATGGGTAATGGAACCATCAACTGCAAAGATGTGATGGTTTTCTCCTATTGGTAACTCACTAGCTAAATAAAAAATGACTTATGTTTAGCGCTACTGATGTGTTTGTCTTTCTTCATATCCTCACATGGACTCTAAGCTTTACACTGCATGCTTTTTCATGGGGTATCCTGTCTTAGCTGCTTGAAATATTCAGCAGCTCTCACCCACAAGTTTCAATTTGCTAAATGCTTGTAAATAAACAAGGCTGTTAAAACCACCTCACTTTAGTGTTTTATAGGGAGAGAGGAAGGCTGGAAAGGCCAGTGTGTAAAGATATTTAATAGAATTAAAGCGGACATGACTTGCATATACGGTTGTTAAGCCCAAAGGTATTATCTATTAAAGTTATTCAAAGCCTGGGCATATTTAGGTAAATTTCTAAATTTTACTGCAATGTATCATCTGGGTGGAAGTAATAACGTTTTAACGCCTTTTAAAGTAGATTTTGGACAGTCTAGGTTTAGAAAACTTAAAAAAACATACTGTTGTCTAATTCATTAATAGGACAACTGATTCAAACTTTAATTCCACTGTTTAATCTGCCGGAAGGCAGTTAGGATCTACATAATGTAGTTTTCAAATAATGATTTTATTCCTTAAGGGAAAAAACCCTATTCTAGCTATCTTTTTCTGATGGAATGAAGTATTTCTCTGGTAAACTTAATAACTGGTTGTGTCACCCTTGTTGGTTTACAGTAACTGGCAATAAGTCTTCTCCGTTGCTTTGGGAGAAATGATGTGCCTTTCTTCTTTTCAGGATTGTTGTAACTCGGATACATTTAAAGGATTCAACATGAATTCCTTGTTTAAAGTAATGCAAAAGCTGCTTAACATGATTGATGTCCTGACTAGTCCACTCAAAAACCTTCATGTTTTTTACTTTTTCGGCAATTAGGTCTGCATTTAGGTATAGTTAGGCTTTAGAATGACTTAACTTGTCTGGCTGGTTGACTGTAGAACAAACTAAAATGAATAAACAGACGGCTCCCAAGCAGCTAGACTTTTGAAAATACGCTGATGCACAAACGGTGTGATTACTACATAACAAACAGAGGGCCCTTAATGATATGCTTTAGTCATTTCCTTTTCTATGTCTGGATTTAATTCCGACAAACACCCGAAGGTGCTGACATAAAACATTTCAATAACCAGTAAAAAGTATTTTTGAACATAGAGTATTTTTTATATATAGAGTATTTACCTTATTTAATTATACTATGTAAAGCGTTGTGTCACAAACAAATCTTGACCTACTGGTTTATGAAATGTTTGGACAAGTCTGATTTATTATTTTTTTGTTATTATCCTTTAACACAAATAGAAAATAATATAATTCAACTTTATTGTCATTACACTGTCACAAATACAAACCAACAAAATGTAGTTTCTATCAACAAGATATACGATATAACTATTTACATGTATACAGAGACTATGTATAGCATATAAGAGGCTATAAAATAAATATGGAAGCTATGTACAGATTATACAGGAAAGTTAGGATATGGATTATATATATATATATATATATATATATATAGCTACAATTGAGAAGTAAGTGGTGTTGGATCTGTAGGTTGTTCAATCATTGCATAGATCCTCAAAAAATTTACGTTAGGGCAAACTTTATCTGATCGACATTTTGAAATGACTCAGAGAGAGAATGATGATTTAGCATTACACAAAATATATGAAACAATGAAAAATAAAAGCCATTGTTGAGTGCCCTGGAAGTTACCATTTGGTGTTTGAAAAAATCATATATACATGTGGAAAAGATGCAACAGGTGGGTTTAACCAAAACTCTTCGAGCCTACAAGTGTGTATTTGCGTGCACATGACCATAACTATACTATTTTATTGTGAAAGATGGTAGCAGCAGCATGATGCTACAGGGAGGCGTTCCTCCAGCAGGGTCATGGAAGCTGCATACATTTTATATTGGTTTATCAATGTGAAAGTGAATTTCAATCAATTGCTAACAAGTCTCTTTATTTAAACTGCTGTCATAGGCCAATAGTTAACCATTAATGAAACATTTTCTAATGACACTTGTGAAAGACAATGTGCTTCTGAAAATTAAAAACAACTGAGCATAGAAGGGTTTTTCTAAATGGTATCCTTATTTTGTCTATTTAAAGTCAAAAATTTTAAATCTTAAGGACATAAACTTAGTAGCTTTTATGCGCTTTTAGACCTTATGTAATAATAGGTGTTCATTTATCTTGTCAGTGGAAGCCTGTTACTGTCTGTCCACTAGAGTGTGCCATTATATCATGTTATTCCAAATGCTTCTCTTCGTTTTCTGCCAAACCACAGAGTACAAATCGTTTTCCATGTAATGAAGCCTTCTGTCTTCTCAGCTGCCCCCTCCTCCCATTCCTACAGACACAATTATACCAGGATGAGAAGCACTTGTTGTTCTTCCACAGCTTTTTTGAAGCAATTAATACCAGATCTCCAAGCTGTGCAGTGAGAGGTGGAGGGGAGATGAAGAAAGAAAATACAAGCGGGGAGTGAGAGAAATCCTCATTTATGTGTCTCAAGGAGCAAGAAAGAGCTGTAATTATAACATAGGAGGCTTTTGGATTACGACTTTTCTCCTCCTGTGTGTTAATTTGTGCATCTGTCAGGTTTGCTTCTTTCTTTTTTCTCTGGCAGGCGCCCTTTGAAAAGACCACTCTCCTCCTGTTTTCATTTGTCTGGGAATACAAGACACAGAATAGGCAGGAACTTGGCATTTATTTGCCTTACAATGCAGTAGCAATTACTGGCTGTGTCTGTGATGCTGAGACAATTAGAGTATATACTAATTCTCTAATGTGCAAAACAGTAATTTAATTAAAGACCTCTGATGTGATGTATTTTTGACTTTGTGTATTGAAGGGATAAATATGCCACATGGTAGGGCTGTAGTTGTATGCAGATAATTTTACTCTGCATGAATTGTTGTTTTTTCGTAACATTTAGGAATCAAGGTAACTCATTAATGTTTTAAAAGTCTCAACGCCATTAAGTGTTTCAAGAAAATTCACAGTAACTTTGTTCCCTCCCTCACCCTTTCCGTAGCAGCAAAATGTCCTTTCAGAGACCGGTTTTCTGAAGTGAAGATGAAAGACGGAGCATCTTCAACATAGAAATGAAATGTCTTTGAAGTTTCAGTCACAGTGAAGACACATCAACACACTGGCTCAAGGCAAGGTGAGCTCCCAGCTCGTGGTTGGCACTTTCTCCATGTTTGGAAAGGCTTTCGCTCTCTGGGCCTTGTCACATAGTCCTCACAGAACATTAGAGAGATTGATGAGCATGCTAAATGACGGCTAGTAAGTCAGAGGAATTCTAAAGTCTTCTCGACAGACAAGCTGAGCGTTTTAGGGAACGCTTTGAGGTCTTTCACAGTCCTGATTTCATGTCAGCACAGCTTAACTTAAAAGTTTAGCTTTCACATTAATGTTTTATTTTCCCATTATGTGCTAAATAACCTGTTTTTAAATTTCATTTATTGGACATGACTGAGTAAGTATTGGGGGAGACACTCATCATATCCAGCTCAGACTAAAATAAAAAACTAGATCAAAGGTAGCTGATCAAAATATTTGGTTGAAAACACATTCAGTATTGTGGTGAGAGAACACAAAATGTTAAAATGTTGTAGATATTTATTGAGAAAGGGGGTAAACTTAAAGGTATAGTGGAGGATTTTCGCAAATATTTATACAGACCTGCCATCTCCAATGCACATGCACAACCCTGTACCCTGTAGTCTTAGATGGACTTTTTGTTGTCCAACCTCCAGCACCCCTGCCAGCTGCTGCCTTCTCTCCTCTGCTCTACTGCTTTGTCTGCCCGACATGCTCCTCTGATTATCTGCTGTGCTCCTTCCATCTCCTGTTAGAGTCCAGGCTAAATGTAGCCTCTCCATCCTGTCTGTTCTTGAAAGTACCACTGTCCTCCTCCTGGCCACCCGTAACCTCTCCCCCTCCATTCAGCACTGTTTTTCCTGGGTGAATTTATCTGATCTTTCCACATGCTCCCCTCAATCCTCCACAGTTAGCCTCTATAGCTAGTCTTTGTCAGCTGTAGCTTCTCCCCGCCTCAACGATGTTTGCCCGGCGGACTAGAGATAATACGTCATCAAATCTGCCCTATTGTCTTAGTAGAAATTTTTCTTAGTATTCATAAATCATTATAACTCAAACTATGTGTAAAACCTAAAAAAGCAAATGTTTACTCCTCCTAAAATAGAGGTGATCATCACTAGGCTCATTCTCGGATGTTTGACGTTGCCACGAGTCTATAGGCTGCAGATATGAAACTTCACAGTGATGCATTCTTGAATACACCATCTGTTGTTCACAAGCACTTCTGAGCCACATCCCTTCAGGTTTCCAGCCTTCTTTATATCTAGCAGAGGGACACTCAAATTGGGGATATGATCCTGCAGCCACACGTTATACTGCAATTCAGATATCCTGAGTCCATGTCAGGGCTTGGAGTCTTCTAACTTGTTTCTTAAAGATCTCACATTGCCCATAATGATTGGTTGAAGGAATGGCTTACATATCTTCCTCCTCTTTCTTCTCCCTGCTCGTGCTTTACATCTTTGGCACCTCTTCAAGTCAATTAAGATAACTTGCTATGGCTGCTATGGTTACGCATCATGAAAATGGTACTGGCAAAATTCCTTTTAGCTGCACCACATCCAACACCGGAGGTAAAGAAAAAAGATCACAAAAGAGGAAACTTTGAGTCACACAAAGAGGATCGGAGAGCAGTAACAGAGTTCTCGGCTCTGTTACTGGTCTGATTCCTCACACCTGCTCCACTGCAATCAGCTCTTACTGGTTCCACCTGTTTTCACCTCATATAAACCCTGTGCAGATCAGCAGCCAGTGCCAGATTGTCTCAAGCCACCCGCACAAGCATTCCAGCATTTCCTACTCTGATTGCCTGTCTTTTGCCTGACCCAATTCTGTCCTTGGACCTTCCAACCAGCCTGACTCAGTGTTGCCTTCTCGTTAAACTGACCCTGCCTGCTTATGAGTACTGGATTC